CCCGTAAGAAAGATGGGCTTTCTTTGGGGAGCGATGACAATGTTCTGGAATTAGATGGTGGCGATGGCTGCACAACCTTGCAAATGTCCTAAAAACCACCACTGAGGCATACACTCTAAAAGGGTGAATGCAACGGTGTAAAAATTACATCCTGATTTTAGAAATGTAAAAGCTGTGGGAAGAAAGGCAGCCCTGTGCCGGAAATAGCCCAGAGAGGAGGCTGGTCCCAGCCCCACCTCGGAGCAGCTCTGTGCCCCGCAGCCAGTCACTTGGCTCAGTGGCTCAGTTTCCTCGTCTTCAAAATGAGAAGACTGGTCCAGCTGGTCTCTGAGGGCCCCTCTTATTCCAAAATCACAGGGTTCTAAGTTAAGCTACATGACCTGGAGGACTCAGCAAGCACTGGCCTGTGGTCAGCTGACCCTGCTGATGGGCCCTGTGGCTCTGATGTTAACGTTGATGGGACTGGGAATGGCCAGTGGGCTCTCATTCTGTACCTGGCCCCGCACGGACATGCTTTCATTAATCTAACCCACACAGCACGCCCTTTGAAGTCAGCGTCATTATTACCCTCCGCAAAAGGAAGAGAAGCCGGGTCTAGAGAGGTTAAGTGCCTTCCCGAGGTCATACGGCCGGTGGAGCTGAGGTGCACTTTCAGGCCGCGGGGCTCCAGAGCCGGTTTCCGTTTCTCAGCCACTTCTCTGAGGGCGGAGAGCAGTCTTGGTGCAGCCAGAAGCGGGAAGGAGGGAGAGGCCCAGTGACTTCCTGCGGGAGACATTCCCTCTTAAGGTCACGGGCAGATTTGAGTCTCCGGTATTTTCTGCCTGTTTTACATTCCCCCAACCCCCTTCAATCATTACCTTTGTGGCTACTTACTGTCACTTTCTCCAAGATGAAGGCTCTGGCCGTGGAAGGCAAAAGAGTTGGGAAGTACTGTCCACCACGGGGCAGTAGGCGTAAAGGCCTACGCCCTCTTAGTCCGGGGTGACAGACACCAGCTAACTAGTCATGAAAGTAGGCCAGATACAAGGTTCCTTGTAGAGCATTTGAGAAGCACAGCTAGGGTAACGGACATCTAAGTAAAGCTAAGTATCCTACGGCTTTCTGCGATGATTTCAGCGGCTCCTGCCTTCTCAGGGTTTTCAGAGGTGACCAGGAGGGTGCCCGGTCCCCCAGTCTTCCCTTTAGGAAGGGTACACTCAGCCTAATTAAGAGAACCCAAGGCTTTCAAGTCAGAGTCAGCCTTGGCCCTTGTGGTGGGAGCTGATTTGCCCTGACGGACTCACTTCCGGGGGCCCACGGCTGAACTTTGGGATTGAGGTCAGGTACAGCCTTGACTGTGCCCAGCGATGGCCGTGAGAACTGGCCTCTGACCCTGCTGCTGGGCTCATGGGCCCTTCCCCTGAACATCACGGGTTCGGGGGGCTTCGTTCATACCTCTGTCTTGTTGCCCTGAACGTTCTGACTTCTTACACACCTTTCGAGCCCGTAAGTCCATGATCCGTCCCCAGGTGGGAATGTATTTCTTTCCTTGTCCTGCTTCCTCCAGCAGCTAAATTCGGTCTCCACGTCGGGAATGCTGGTAAAGCCTCCTTGGGTGTCTGAGCTTTGTACTCTGCTTGTTTCTCAGAGGAAACAAAACTACCTTTTCATGCCCTTTTAATCCATGTGGTTCATTTGTCATTTTACTATGAAGGGAGCTGGAAAGATGTCAGCCGGGGGGTGGGGAGGGGGTGCAGGGGGGACCTGGGGTTGGGGTAAGAGTCACGTTGCAGGGGCCCTTCTGGGAGGCAGGCTTCTCACCTCTGCCTGACCTGAGTGCTCTTTTTTCCCAGATGTGAATGTGGACCAACCAGATGAGAAATCCATCATTACCTACGTGGCTACTTACTATCACTATTTCTCCAAGATGAAGGCCCTGGCTGTGGAAGGCAAAAGGATTGGGAAGGTACTGTCCACCGCGGGGCAGTAGGTGTAAAGGCCAGAGAAGGCCTGGCCTCAGGGTCTTACCCCCCTCAAGCAGGGTTAGGGTGGAGCTGTAGGACTAGGCCCAGGGCCATTGGACAGGATCCCATGTCACTGTCTCGCAGGTGCTGGACCACGCCATGGAGGCCGAGCGCCTGGTGGAGAAGTATGAGTCCCTGGCCTCAGAGCTGCTGCAGTGGATCGAGCAAACGATCGTGACCCTCAATGACCGGCAGCTGGCCAACTCCCTGAGCGGGGTCCAGAACCAGCTGCAGTCCTTCAATTCTTACCGCACCGTAGAGAAGCCGCCCAAGTAAGTGCCCCTGGGCCGCTCCTTGCCACAGCGGGCCCGCCCTGAGCTGTGCTCACCCGAGAGGAAGCTAAATTAGGATGGCCTTTCGGGAGGGAAATTTGGCAGTGCATAGATGCAGGGGAGGCTCATCTCCCTCGGCTCAAAGCACTAGAAGCAGTCCCCTGAATGAATTCTTAAATGATTATCCATTAAAAAAAAATCAGGCTGTGGAGATGATTGCCAAGGGATGTAGAGTCAGTGCAATTCACTCAGATACTGGTCAGGGCCCCAGCAACCCAGCCCCAGCTTAGGGACCGGGTCAGGAGATTAGACCTGACAGGCAACACAGGAGTGTGGCTAGTAGCTTGCACATTGCAGAGGTTCTTATCACCTATACAGGGTGTCCCCCAAGAATGTATATACACTTGAACAGCCGATAGCTATAATAGCTACAATATACACACACTATAATAGCTGTCGGCTGTTAAAGTGTGTATACATTTGAAAAAATGAAATGTATTTTAATAAACACTGCCTTTATAATTATCCAAAGTGTGTGTATACATTCTGGGGGGACACCCTATATATTTTAGAAATTAACTCTTCAAGGATGGAACTGCTGTTGGGCAGTTCTATACAGTGTATGCTAAAATGGCTGTTTTCCTATTATGGAGCTCTTTTGGAGTTAGTACGCTTCAGCTCCAAAGCTAGAATTAATCCAGAAAACATCTATTCCTATACATTCCAGGGAATGATTTGACCCAGAAAATCCTCTTCTGGGCATTGAACAAAGATGTAGCTTCAAGGATGTTCACCAGCGTGACCTCTGTAAAAGAAAAATAAGTCACAACCACTGACACTTATGTTGAAGAAATGTGTCGATTGGCTAAAAAGATATTCATGACAGTTTACAGAACAGTTATTTGTGGACAACAGAGAGCAAAGGGCTAAGTCCAGGTTCAAAGTGCCTGCGTTCAAATCCTGGCTCTTCAACTTAATGGTTGTGAGTTGTTACCCTCTCCGTGTCTCAGTGTTCTCATCTGGAAAATGGGGGTAATAGGAGGATGTAGCCAGCCGGGAGAACTAAGCAATGTGTGTAAAGTCCTTGGAAGAAGGCCTGCCCCACAGTGAGAGAGTCCTGGACAAATGTTAGCCACAGCTATGATCCGAGCCCGTGTGTGTAAAACGAAAATGAAGCAAGTGCGTGCCAGTGGGTAACAGGGGCCATTTCTGGGTGGTTTTCAGGTGTTTTTAAATTACGTTCTTTTCATTCACCAGTATTCTCTGTCTTTCATGTGTTGCTTTTATGAGAAGAAAATCGGCACAGGACACTTCATTGTAAAACGTAGAGTCCCTGTTCCCCCCTCCTTCCCCCATGACCTTTGACTCTGACCCCACCCTGGCCTCCCACCCCAGGTTCACAGAGAAAGGGAACCTGGAAGTGCTGCTCTTCACCATCCAGAGCAAGCTGCGGGCCAACAACCAGAAGGTGTACACGCCCCGCGAGGGCCGGCTCATCTCTGACATCAACAAGGTCTATAACCTCTCTTTCCCATCCCACAGGCGTCCCACCCTTGGCACCAGCCCCTACGGCCCCAACTTGAACTCTGGTCCCCGATGCCCACACCCCTCCCTGGTGCAGACGTGACTCACACATTCTCTCATGCGTCCTGCACCCCCCCTTCCTCCTCCCTCTGCCTCTCCATGTGAGTTCACATAATAAAATCATGCCCTAGTCTCTGATCTTGTTCAGCCTGATGATTAATAAAAGTAATAGGGGTCACCCACCGTCCGTCCCCCCCCACACACACACAAATCCAGTGGTATCCATTGTTCCCAGTCCCCTCCAGTCCTTGCCTGAAGCAGGTCGTGGCTGCTGCGCTCACGCCGCCCCTGCTTCTCATACTTCCATGCACCGGCGTCTAACTGAGCGCATTCCGCAGATGCACTAGACCGCGCTTCCCTGGGACTCACCATGTGCCCAGCCCCAGTGACCCCTCCTTCCTGAGCCCTGGCCCTTCAGCACTGATCCTGTCCCACCTCGCAGGCCTGGGAGCGGCTGGAGAAGGCGGAGCATGAGCGGGAGTTGGCCCTGCGCACCGAGCTGATCCGCCAGGAGAAGCTGGAGCAGCTGGCCGCCCGCTTCGACCGCAAGGCCGCGATGCGGGAGACCTGGCTCAGCGAGAACCAGCGCCTCGTGTCCCAGGTAGAACAGGGGCTCTTGGCCTGTCCAGGTGCCGGGGAGAGGGGAGGAGAGGGTGGTGGGTAAGAAGCCCTGCAGTGTGCGGAGCTAATGAAACAAGAAGTCCATCATCACGTGGATAAAAAGACCAAGAGTCCCAGGATCCAGGGCCAGAGGCTTGAGCAGGAGGAAGGGTTGGCGAGACAGGATGAGATGGGATAGAGAGGAAACTGAGAGCCACCTCATGGGGTTGGCTTCTTGCAGCCGAAGTGCTGGTGGGGTTGGGGGGTGGGGCGGAGGGATTAGTGGGATGAGCAGAGCTTCCCGAGCTCCCAACCTCCCCTCCCTGTCCCAGGACAACTTTGGGCTGGAGCTGGCAGCCGTGGAGGCAGCAGTGCGGAAGCATGAAGCCATTGAGACGGACATCGTGGCCTACAGCGGCCGGGTGCAGGCTGTGGACGCCGTGGCCGCTGAGCTGGCCGCCGAGCGCTACCACGACATCAAGCGCATCTCCGCGCGGCAGCACAACGTGGCGCGGCTCTGGGACTTCCTGCGGCAGATGGTGGCCGCCCGGCGGGAGCGGCTCCTCGTCAGCCTGGAGCTGCAGAAGGTGTTTCAGGACCTGCTCTACCTCATGGACTGGATGGACGAGATGAAGGTGCGGGATCGGGGTTGTGGGGGTGCAGACGCTCACGCGCTCGGCTGATCTTCACAGAGTATGTTCCAGAGCAGGGCCCTGTCCCCAGTTAGATGAACGGAGCAAACAGGTCCCTGTCCTCATGGGTTCATGTTCTAGTGGGAGGAGACAGAGGATAAAACCATGGACCCATCAACAAACAGAAGAGCAGGTGCACATAAAACCGCCGGGGAGACGAACGGGCTGTGGAGGGAGCGGTCTGGAAGGCCTGGCTGAGAAAACGCCTTCAAGCTGAGCTCAGAATAGTGCAAGGAGCCAGCACAGGGAGAGCTGAGGAGAGGACTCCCAGGCAGAAGGCGCACCTAGCAAAGGCCCTGGCCGTTGCAGCCTGGCGTGTTCAGCATGAGAGGGGACGGGGCGGGGGCAGGGGAATGGGACAAGGAAGGCAGTGGCCAGCTCAGCTCACTAAGGCCTTACAGGCCTGGTCAGGGAGTTTGGATTATTATTTTTGTTGTTGTTAATCCTCACCCAAAGACATTTTTTCCATTGATTTTTAGGGAGAGTGTAAGAGAGAGGGACAGACAGAGAGAAACATTGATGTGAGAAATACATTGATTGGTTGTCTCCTGCACAAGCCCTGACCAGGGCCCGGGCCGGGGAGGAGCTTGTAATCGAGGAGTGTGCCCTTGACGGGAATCGAATCAGGGACCCTTTGGTCCGCAGGCCAATGCTCTATCCACTGAGCCAAACTGGCTAAGGCAGGAGTTTGGATTTTATTCATAGTAACATGGAGCCTTTTTAAAAAAATATATTTTTATTGATTTCAGAGAGAGGAAGGGAGAGGAAGAAAGAGATAGAAACATCAATGATGAGAAAATCATCCATCAGCTGCCTCCTCACGCCCCCTACTGGAGATCAAGCCCAAAACCTGGGCGTGTGCCCTGACCATAAATCAAACCATGATCTCCTGGTTCATGGGCTGACACTCAACCACTGAGCCACACTCGCCGGGCCTTTTTTTTTTTTATTCC